TGTTCTTCTCAATATAAGATGATGATCCTACACCCATAAATTTACCAGTAATTATAATGGGGAAATCTTGGCTTACTCTTAAATAAATACGGTATTTTCCAGAAACTTGAAATGAGTTTTACGCAAAAGAAACCTAAGTTGATGGTTTGTCAGTGTGTAAAACCTTTTAGAACTAATGCGATATCTGTCCTATGCTATTATATAGTTGAGTCTACCAATGTTCATACTTTGCACCTGCTTTGTTATTAATTCATTTTGTTCACATCTTTAATTCAGGCTGACATAGTACCCTAGGCTTTCATACCTTTCTCTAATGGAATCTCGCACTTAGATCTAGTATTATTGGATGCAGTTGAAATGTTAATATAACTGGATAAGTTACCTCTATATATTTTTTATGTGTGTATTGCAGCTGGAGCCACATATATCTTTGGGAAAAGTGGAGGCCTCATCCTGTATACTTGGCCAGCAAATGACAGACCCAGTACAAGGACAGACCGCCTAGCTGTTGGGTTCAGTACAACAGTAAAAGATGGCATCTTGGTACGGATTGACAGTGCCCCTGGCCTTACTGACTTTTTGCAACTTCATATAGTAAGTACAGATCTTTTCTGCTTCATTTTGTCTTCCGTTTTCATGCCTACAAAAATTCATTTAAACAGCCAACAAAACAAAACAAAAACAAAATTCTACTTAGAAGTACATATTTCCAACAAGTGTAATCTTAAACAACAGTTAATAAATTGTTTTACCATAGTTGTACATAAAATGTATTCTGGATGAGTCTAAAGATAATCTAGACCTTTAAGTTTCCTTATTTAATATTGTCTTAATATAAGCAATTATAGTTTTCTTTGGACTCAGTATATACTTTTGTAAGTTTAGACCAGTGTTTCTCAGCTTCTTTGCCCATAGTCCCCTTATGATTTTGTTTTTTGATTGTGGCCCCACTGTCCAGGTCCCGTTACCAGATATGGCAGTAACTGGTGTATTCTCTGGCATCAATAAGATAGCATTTGCTGTTTTTTTCCCCTGTGATCCCTCAATACATGCCATGCTCCCTCCCCCATTACATGTTTTTTCAACCTCTGGTTCCCTTGGTATATCCAGAGGACCACATGGACTCTGGCTGAGAACTGTTGATTGTATTATAGAAGAAACATAAAAGGAATCTAGAATAGTCTTAAGAAATGGCATTTCAGGCCAGCATTTGAGTCTCAACAACCATATACTAGTGCATAGATCTACATACTGGTGCTCTCTAGATTTCTTAGATTTACAGTTTCCAGAATTCTTAACTAGAATATTACTACTTGGGACTTCTTGGATTTGAAGTCCAATAAACCTGAGATAGTTTGCACTGGGTATTAGTCTCTAGTTTTATTGACCATGGAATGGTGGATATCTGATCATAAAACAGTGAAACTGAAAATGAATGAAAGATAGACATAAGGGAGGATTTATGTATTTATTTATAAAATGCATTGACTGCCCATCTTACCATAGGGTAACTCTGGGCAGCTTACAATTACATATAAGAGGATGAATAAGGAATCAATCTATGGTTTATTTCATTATCCAAATACTGAGGAAACAAATGCCTTGCTGCCTACTTAACATGTCATCCTTTTGACTCCTATGCTTGACTTCCTAAAAAAAACTTGCAGGCATACAATGACTTTAGAATTCCCCAAATTAAAACCCGGAGTAACTAAGAATCAAGATACTACATTACGTAGTATAAATATTAAATATATACATATATGTTGTGGATACAATCTGTTCTGGATGGAGTAATATTGACTTGCACAGGTCAGATATGCATTTGTGAATGCTCCAGGATCTGACATGGTTCCTAAAATATATAGAAAGACACAGCTCCAACAGTATTTTTGGAGGTATCTTTCTTCTGCCTGCTGCATCTTTCTTTAAGAGAAGGAAATTTGGGTAAAAAGACTTCATGGTTTCAAGAATCTCATTTTAGCTTATTGTGCTATGCTCAATATCACATCTTTGTTCTTCATTAATGTTTGAAAACTACACTTTATTCTAAAATGCTGGCCAAATTGGGTTTCATAATAAGATTACAATGGTTCTGGTATTACACTGTTTTTCAGTTACAATTCAATTGCATTTATTTTACTTAAACATGATTTGGGCTTGTAGAGAACCATCCCTTCCTACTGAATAGGATCATCATGTTATGATCATTGAAAGCTACTGTATCCCACTATCTTGAAAGACTAAATTGTTGAGTATTTAGGACCAGGCCTTTTGTAAAATTAGCACTGCAATTATGGGACTTTCTCTTGACAAAAGTGAAATTGGATCCTTCATTATAAGGTATTATGCAGGGTCCTCTGAGCTTTTCTGAATTGTCAGTCTTTTCATGTGACATCATTTATTAACTCTCTAATTTTAATTCCATTCTCAAATTTCATTGAATGACTTGTTTGCTTTGGTAAAGAAAGCAATTTTTAAGTTTAATGAAATAAATACAAAAGAATGCTATCACACTGTAATCTCATTTGATATACTTCCTATCAGTAATTTATAATTTTCTATAATCAATTTTACAACATTGGAACAGTTATCTTGATTTTCATGTCTTTGTCCTTATAAATGAGTTTTAGTCTACATCTACCCAGCCACATCCCTTTTTTTCAGTAACAATATAACCTTTATGGATTTGCTTCAGTTTATAATTTATTGTTTTTTAGTATTTAAAACATCTCGGTTTATGATTGCATAAGTATTTTTTTAAAAAACTCAGAATGAGACTGCCTATGATATTTGGAGCAATAATGCTCCAAATAATGAATCTCGTACATGAAGACACATACAAATATATGGACATTTTCTCTCATAATCAAACACATAAAAAACATACAATAATACAATAACAATTTCCAGTTCCTCTGATATTCTCTCTCTTAAAGGCAGTTCCAGGGATTCTCAGGACATCTATTATAACACATATTTTCTTATGCATATGAGTAAAGTGAATACATAAAATATCTTAATTTTTTCATGAATATAATTTATGAAAAATCCTTTTAGTCATTTTTTAATTATGAGTCCTTTAAATACTCAAGAGATTTATGTGCTCAGGCATTATTTTGTATGTATTTCTCTCACACACAGACACATAGACACATACAGCAGGAGGGAGGGAAAGAGAAAGAGAGAGAGAATGGATGGAATACATCCAGAATTATTCAGTTCATAAATTGACATTTATAGTTAGGCAGGATTAAGCTTAGGCAAAAGCATATGCAAGAATGCTGCCCTCAAATTCTTGTTACTTTAGAAAAGTCAGAAAACAAATTCCATAAGACAATTGGAATACAACTTCATCATATAGGGTAATGGAATCTTGAGAGATTCTGTCTCCTTCATTTTATACCAGTGGTGGCGAACCAATGGCACGGGTGCCAGAGGCGGCACTCAGAGCCCTCTCTGTGGGCACGCGTGCTGTCGCCCCAGTCCTAGGCCATCAGCTGGGTTTTATAAAACCTTTTCACTTTAGGCCTCCACCACCATGTATAAAAAAAAAAGGTTCAATCAATCAGTCAATTTCAACTTCTCGCAGGAAAAAAAAAGATCTTGCAAAGTTGGAATTGATTGATTGAACTTTTTAGTCCCACCTAGTCTGCTGTTACCACTGCAGCCACGCCCAATGGGCCACGCCCACCCAATGGGCCACACCCACCCGGCACCCGACGATGCATAAGTGGGTTTTGGGTTGCAGTTTGGGCACTTGGTCTCTAAAAGGTTCGCCATCACTGTCTTATACCCAACAGAATCAATGACAGTCTTCAATTCCTCCTCCTTTCCAAGCTAAGTCGAATTTTATGTAACAGCTGTTGAATACAGTACCTTTTTTTTCAAGCCATCTCTGTCCTCCTCTATCTCCAGAAGTTTTGAACTAACCCAAAGTGCTTCTATACATTCATTGACTCTATTGCACTCTACTGCACCTTAACTGTACCAACAGTAGCCATGTGATCTATAAGAAGCAAAAATTGCTCACAGAAAATAAAACAAGGATTTAGTAGAACATCTGTGGCTTATAAAAGGGATTGTACTGCTGACATCTAAGGAGATACAAATCATTTTCCTGGTTTTTAGAGCTTTATATTCCTGCCTATCATTTAAGTATTTATTGCAACCTATACTTTCAATATTTGTAAAGGAACTAGAGGGATCCTTATTCTACAAATGGTGTAAGGACTGAATCTGGTAAGATAAAAACCAGAAATTCCCAGTTTATAACAAATTGTTATATAAATAAGTCTGTGTGACTACAAGGCTTACTTGAGGAAGGCTGCAGGAAAAAGCCCAGAATTTAAATTCTGAGGCATAACCCGATAGAAGGGCTTTGACTTGTCTGCACTGCACAGAAGTAAAGTATGTCCATAGTAGTTCTGTGATCCACCAATTTAGTCACTTCATCAAAGAAGGCAATAAAGTTTTTCTGACATCCATTTTTAACAAATCCATTTTGGTTTCTAGAAATAGCTTTGCCCATTTCTAGGTGCTTGCAAATCCACTGCTTGATTTTCTTTTGCAGGATTCCCAGTTATTGATGTCAGGCTGATTGGTCAGTAATTTCCTGGATCCATTTTTTCCTCTTTTTTGAAGATTGGAACTACATCAGTTCATTTCCAGTCTGCTGGTAGTTCCCTGGTGCTCCAGGAGCTTTAAAAGATTTTGTTCAGTGGCTCTGAGATCACATCTGCCAGCTCCTTCAGAAACCTGGCATGTAATCCATTTGTTGCTAGGAATTTGAATTCATCTAGAGTGAATTTATGGCTTGTACAGTTAGGACACTGGGTTGGAGGTTAGCAAGCCTGCGTTTGGAACCCAAGTGCTGCCATGGTGTGGGACATGAAAGGAGCCCTCAACTGGATGTCCCCAGGGCAATAGTGATGTCACCAGCTAATCCTTTCAATCTGGAAACACCTTGGTGCTTCTAACATGGGTGCAATGTGATCTAGAGTGGATAGGTGTTCTATTACCATTTTATTACCTATTATATCTTCTATGATATTGCTTTTGATAGGTTGGACTATTTTTTCCCCTTTTGCATAAAAATAGATGCAAAGAATGAATTAAGCATCTCTGCTGTCACATTCTTGTCATCTTCTCCCTTTAGTGGACCAATTGTTCCCTTGATTTTTTTCATGTTGCTTACATGTTGAACATGGGTACATGGTAATCATAGACCCATTTGAACTAACCCAATTTTCTTGGTTTGTATGATACCATGAACCACATAGACTGAGTTCATGCAATATATTAGGATAATTCTTTTGAATTCTCCAGCATTTCTCTTTCTTGAAGGATAGAGATTAATTGACTCCATATGCATAAAGGAAAGAAGAGGAAAAAAAACCTCACAAAACAATATAAAATAAATAGGAAATCAAACATGTTCATTAGAATAGGTCAAATAATTCTCTAATCAGTATTCCCAGTGGAAAAATACTTGTTCAGTAAAAGAAAAGTATCAGGACATTCTGCCATTGATGGCTAATGAGTATCAATCTATCCATCATTACATCATTTTTTGTACATTATATCTAATTCTG